GAAATATTTCTCAAAAATATTTGAATTTATTATAATAAGATTTGTTAGATTTTTATTAAGAATCTAAATGTGATGATGAATTGGTAATATTCAGGAATAGGCTGAACAAAATTTAATTTACACTTGTCATTCAAATTACTACAAGATTATTTTAAAACCAAATTATATATATGACTGCGATTGAAAGCCTATGCTTATGTCAATAATAACAGTAAAGAAGATGATGATCTTGAATTTGGAATTTGGATCCAATGGGAATTTGACAAATTGAAAATTTTGGGGATAAAAATATTGCAGGTGATTTAATTGGATTAAAAGATGTACCAAATCGATCAGTTTGAAATTTTTCAATACCATCATCATAATTTTTTTAAACAACTACCATGATTAATAATCAAAGAAATTTATTGAATTTAGAAACGAAAGTCTTGCTTTCTAGCTAAGTTGATTTGATGAAGCTAATGATCTTTACACTGAAGGTAATACACCATATAAATTTAAATTGATACATTGTGGGACTCGAGATGGTTTTCTAGATCAGCTTTTGAAAAACTATAGCTACTATGAAAATAAAGAATCGGAAGAATTGATTGATAGTTGTAACCCAGTTTACAGGAATGGAGTATAAAAGATGATTATTGGATCAGAGCTGATAAAGCTTTTTATTGAAGATTGATGGAAATCAGATAATTAATTCATCAATAATTCATCATTGAGAAGAAATTATGCAGTTTAACATCGTTACGTTGATTATGTCCAGTATGTAAATAACTTGTGTGTTCATTGTTTAGAAGGTTTTGAAATTTAAAACTAGTAAAGAAAACTTAACTATTCTCCATTTAGAAGTAAGTAATATTTTATATATTTCTTACAAATTTAACTATTAAATATAATAACTGTGACACGGAAATTTATCATTCATTACTACTATGATGATGATTTTTTTTTCGTTTTCGTTGGTTTCGTTGATTTCATTGGTTTCGTTGATTTTGTTGATTTTGTTTGCGTTGGTGGCGGTGTTGGTGATTTTGAAGAAGGCGATGGTTTTTCTTGTTCTGATTATCAATAAAATGCCTTAATTGATATAATATAATTTATGAATGTGACGAGGATAACATAAACTAACCTTTCTTATCAACATCAAAAACGACTCCCTTTTGATTACGTGCATCAAAAACAATATCGTCAGGGCTTGGTACATTAAAATCAAAGTCATGGATATTTGAATCTGTTGAAGAATAAATTTCAAAGGTGTAAAGTTCATTATTAGGCGTTAGTTGTTGAATATCATCATCAATAAGATTCTCGAAAATATCAATGGCAAAATTGGAAGGAGGTGCAATCAAAGGATGGTCGGGTTCTTGGGACGACTTTTGATAATAATTTGTCATTACTATTACTGCTGATGTTATATTATATATTGTAATATTAATATATTTACATTTATTATTTTATTTATATACAATGAAATTTTACAATGATGCAAATTCTGACCAATGAAATCAGTTTAAAACCTTGAAACCAATAAAAATAAAATTAACCAAAGATTTTTATTCAGTCTATTTTCATATTCATTAAAGATTACAAAAACACAAACATTACATATACCAAATAAAAAAAATGCACAAACTATCACATTTACGAAGACGTGGATTACCAGCTGATGCAATAGGTGAAATTAGCGAAGACGAGGAAGAGCCTACCACTCGAAAAGAAGTCGATTTAAGTGACGACGAAGACGAGTACCATTCTGGTTTTGAAGCCAATAGCAGCAGTGATGAAGACTCAGATATCAACAGTGAAAATTCACAAAGTGATTTTGAGAACGAGGACAAGAACAGTTTAAACTTGAAACATTCAAGTAATCCTGTCGGCAGTAACAATAATGGTCATAATGAGGAGGCGTCAAACAAAACCATTTTAACAAAAAACAGAAAAAATTCCAATTCAAACCTTCAAAACAATTGCCTAGATACCGATGAAATTCACAAAACCGATTCAAACATAGTTGATGACGAATCTGAACATGATAATAATCATAATCAATCGACAAAAACCACACAAACAAGGCAAGATTATAGGAAAAAACTTGCAGAGGACCCATCATACGTTCCTAAATTTGGATACTTTTGGGGTCATGATGACCGATTTGTCAAGGAAGAAGCTGAAAATCTTCAAGATAATAATAACAAATTTAGAAAATTCCCATCAAGGTAATTTGCTAATTTTCTATATAATCGTTGAGAAATAGTAAACGCATTATTCAAGGGATAATCACATTATATTAATTAATTTTGTTGTTTGTTGTTGTTGTAAATAATAAATAGAAATAAAGGAGGGTTCAAAAATCCCCCAACAGAAAATCAATGGGGACATGATGGATATGAAGAATTGATACGTATGGAAGAAGAAGATGATAAAAGAAGAAATAATTTTCAAAGGAGAAGTAGAGATGGTTTCTCACCAGTAAATATAATTTTATTTTTCATATTTAGAGAAATTTTATTGATTGATTGAAATTTTTTTTATTAATCTCATGCATGGTAATATAAATACAGGCAAATCGTCATTGGAGTAGAGAAAGCAACTATTCACAAAATAACCATTCAAGATACCAGGCTCCTGTTGCTCCTAAACGAAGTAATTCAATAGATAGAAAGAATAGGAATCGTCCAACCTATGAAGAGAACAGACGCAATGATTATCGTCAACCGAACAAATATCAACCACATAACAATAACAGCAACTATAATGATGATTATTATTATAACAATAGAAGATTAGAATTTTCACAACACACGCGTAATATAAATTCGCGAATGCCCCCACCGCCAAAGCCACAACCACAACCACAATCATCATCTTCATATCGTAATAATAATAGCCACCATAACACTAACAACCACCGTCCCAACAGCAGTAACCAATATCACAATAATAGTCGGCATCACAATAATAACTACCATTACGATGATAACTACCATCACAATAATAACTACTATTACGATGACAATTACTATTATGATAATAACTACCGTCACGATAATCATCACAATTATAGTAATAACTACCGTCACGATAATAACTACTATCACCGTTACGATAATAATCACCGTCATAATAATAACTATCGTCATGCTAATGGAAATAATTATAATCATAAAAATAAAAGCGCCTCATACGATGAAGATTTTAACGATGATGGTTATAATAACGATACTAGGAATTTTAATAAAACTCATAATTACAAAAGAGCTCATGGCACATCATCATCATCATCATCATCACTTAAACTAGATGTAGTTAAGAAAAAAGAACCTTTACAAAATGATATTTCACCTTTAAAGGACGAAGCGGTTGAGAAGAAAGACGTAAAAATTGAGAATAATGGCATTTCATTACCATCATCATCACCATCAGTTGAAAACGACATAGAAAATGTCACCAAGGCTATAAATGAATTGGAAATTGCATCCAATGAAGAAGATGCTCCAGAAATAACTACATGTATCCATCAAGAAAAGGAAATTGATAATGTTGAGCAAAAAGAAATGAAAAATACGAATATGAAATCTATCGAATCAAAAAATAACGCAAGTACCCAACCAGTTGAACCATCTACTACCTCAACAGCATCTTCATCCAAAAGATATTCTTCAAGAAGGGTTGTTACCACATTACCTCAAACTAACACCAATTCAGAAGATAAACCAGATTCTCCAAAATCTCCAACCGAAAATTTCACCCTTGAGGGACACTTTTTAACGGGAAATACAAACAAAACTGATCGAATGACAGCAAAGGAAGTGGCGAACCAACTTCAAATTTTAGTTAATAAAGGTGGAATTTCAAGCTGAGAGTATTCCCAAAGTGGCAACAGTTGCAAATTGGATCATAATGATATGCAGCAAGCTTGAAAAAATATTATCAGCACAAAGAATAGAGAAATCAAATCCGCCAGAAATTTAACGGTAACTGATATTAAGAAGATGAAGAGCCGAGTAACAATAACACGGCAAACTTCTTGATCGCCGATCAACGCATTTTCTTGTGTCACGCACGGTCAACAATTAATTAATACGCGCGGATTATTTATTTTTTTATAAAAACTATAGCAAATATATTTATTATTTCTAATCAGACTAATATTAAACACTTAAATGATTAAAATTCCACAGGATACTGAGATAGTTACTCATAAGCACCAACAATCATCAAATGGAAAAATGGACAAGAAAAAAATGTGGTCCTTGGATGATTTTGAACTTGGTGCTCTGCTTGGAAGTGGAAGATATGGAAAGGTTTATAAAGCGAATGAAAAGTTAAGCGGTAAAACTGTTGCAATAAAATTGTTATACAAAAAAGAAATAAGAGATGCTAAAATGGAAGACCAATTGAGACGCGAGGTTGAGATTCAAGTTAGTTTAAGGTATATGTGATATAAAATGATGATAATTTGTAGATATTGATTGTTTGCAAGATTTTAATTTATCTCTATTGTTATATATTTGATTGGAATAATTAATATGATAATATCATAGACACCCCAATATTCTTCGTTTATATGGATATTTCTTTGATGAGAAACACGTATGCTTAATCCTGGAATTTGCTGAAAAAGGTGAATTATATAATAGTCTAAAAAAATATGGTAAATTCCCTGAACGAAAAGCTGCACGTGTATGTATCTAGTATGCTTTTATGATAAAAATTCAATTCATTACATATGACAACAATTAAAATTTTCTTTTTACTTCAAAAAATTTAGTACGTTTCTCAAATATCAGATGCTTTGATTTATCTCCAAAAGAACCATATAATTCACCGAGATATGAAACCGGAAAATATACTGTTGGCAGCTGATGGCAGAATCAAGATATCAGATTTTGGATGGGCTGTTCAACATACCAATCCTGAGTTAGTGTTTAATCATTTATTTTAGGAAAAAAAAAATTAAAATTCACTTCTTTTATTATTTTTGTTGCAAAAATATACAGTGTAAGACGCCAAACCTTTTGTGGCACTCTTGATTATATGGCTCCTGAAATGATTAGAACTAAAGAAGGTTATGATTTGAAAGTTGATTCATGGGCTCTTGGTGTCTTGTGCTATGAATTTTTGATTGGAGCACCACCATTTGCAGATTCACCTAATACATATGAAACTTTTGAGAGAATAGTGAGGGTTGACTTCCAATTTCCTGATGAACTATCGCCCGAGGCTAAAGATTTAATTTCTTCGGTAATAATATGATTTGTTTATTATAAGGGTTCATTTTCAGATAAGAAAACATAATGAATATAATAATTATTAAAACTACTATTAATAATTTTTTCAACTAGCTATTATGTCGAGATCCTAAACAACGTATACCACTTGAAGACGTTAGTAAACATCCTTGGATTGTGAAAAATTTAAAGTATTTGAAATCATTAAGTTAAAGTTTCTTTATATAATGTTAAATCATATAATCAATGAATTATTTTTTTTTTTATTAATTACTAAAATAAATGAACAATTTGAACAATTTGATTATTAAGCATGTACACACACACAAATATATGTGTGTGTGTGTGTTAAATTTGAGTGTTAAATTATTAATTACTCTGAATATTTATTAAATTTTTTTTTCTGAATTATTATTATTATTTTTCTATTTATTTTTTCAATTTATAATAACTCTAATATAACATAATAATAAATAAAGGTTTCCTTTTTAACTACCCTCACGAAATTTTTTGGGACTAACAAGCCACTCCTCTTCTTCATCATAATTAAAGTTTCTTTTTCTATCATTAATTATAAATTCTGATTGATTGCTAGTTACTATTTTTTTACTTTGAACAAATTCTATTGCGTCAAATCCAAAACAAGATTCCTGCAATTCCAATAAATCATCCTTGCTCAATTTTTTACAGCTAGAACTAACATCTGGTTTGTTGCATCCCTTAATATCTAGTCTTGTTTTTTGTTTTTGACTATTATCAGCATAAGATACATAATTGTCGCCGAAATTAATTACTTGTGATGTCGTAAGTGGTACTGATTCTTGAGATTTTTTATCCCAATGTTTAAGTGATGACAACAATAATGATGATTCTGATGTGTTTTCTTTGACGTGATCCTTTAGATCAGCTAGATTAGGTGAACATGCAATAATATCAACTTGTTGACAAGTAGTTGTAGCAGGTGTAGATGATGATTGTTGGAAATTGTTATTATGAAGATGATCGTTTTGTAGTGTTTGATTTTGAGTCATTATTAAATCCTCATTGTTATTTACACCTAGAGTTGAATAATAATTAGTGGCAGATGTGAATGATGGTAATAATAATTCTTGGGAATTGTTT